ATTGATTCATGTAATTGCATTCGATGACGTCATTGAAGTAAAAAAAATCTATATGACCAAAATTTTTGAGAATATCAGAATTGAAGAAAAATATATATATATAAAAAAAAAACAATTTGGCGATTTCCATGGGAGTATCCCTGTAATAGACAAAAGAACTCAAATTGATAACACATTCTTTTGTATATTTTAGTTAAAACTTAAGTGTTTAGATAAACGATTAAGCTGGCGGTTAATTATCTTGATAGGTGTAGAAAAATCTATGAACTCCAACTGACATCGACATTCAACGATCGATACGGATCGTTTGAGAGTTGAAATTATAGAAAATACCACTAATTTGAGTGAATCGTCTGTTTCCTTTTACAGTATATTGAGATTTATATAGATTTCTCTCAACTGAGTCCATATCATGCAGATATAAATCCAATTTCTATAATTGTTCGTTACACGACACCGTAAATTAGTTTGATTATCCAAGCAGTAATAGAGCGTGTGACTTTTCTATGAATGTCATCAGAATACTGGCTCTTTTGACCTTTTTAGTTGAACATCACCTGTTCCATTTGCTTTCCAGACTTGTCCAGAGCAAGTTCCGAAAAAGTTTTTCAATTATTTCATGCTTCTTTAAAGTAGACGAAAACACGGCAATTCCCCTCCTCTCCAATAATTTGGTTGGGGGGCCAGACCCCCCAACAATTTTCAACTTTTAAATAGAATTTTTAATTTTTTATATACTCATTAAAGACATTAAATAGATAACCTGACTATTCACTATTTATGTTCACACTCCTCCCCCCCCCCCCCCCCCTCAATAATGTTTTGCCTCCGCCGTCCATGAAACAGTATGACCCCCATATTCTGTGCGCGATATGATGGCGGTACTCGTTGGTTAACTTCTTCCAAAGTCCACTTATCGACTAACTTATAACCTTCACGTCAAACTATTTTKTTGTTTTGAGCCTTTTGAGCATCCCATCCATCATGGTGGATTTAGTATCATGTGACGGTGYCATGCAAAATGCCTATTGAATTAGCTACAGAGACTTCGCTTCAGGCACTTTGCAGYAATGTCTTTAATTAAAATKTATTCGACGTCGAAGTCTCTCTTGTCTAATTCTTTGCTAATTCTTTGTCTAATGCTTTGTTCCTTTGAGAAAATGTAGAAAGAACKGACAAACGATAAGACTAATTATTTTCGAAACATCTTTTGAACACATCCCAGTTATTACAAAGATCATTGAAGCTATACTAAATCCCAGCTTGAATGAATACAGAGAATAATAGCCAAATTACGCATCAATAGTCACATACAAAGGAATCAAGACGAGGCGCCGTGCTTTTTTGTGAAAAATCTATTGTCTTTAGCACGGCGCCTCGTCTTGATTAGTTGATTCCTTTGTATGTGACTATTGATGCGTAATTCGCAAGTCGGCTATTGTGTAACTGATGTGCATATCAAAATGCAGGGCCGATGATTGGCCTTCTTTTCTGTGATGAACCCTTAAAAATTTCATAAGTTGCTTTGAAGTATAACTTGACAATCAATCCATATCTTAGACAATCAATCCATATCTTAACAGTTATTTCATCATCATATATCGTCACTCAACTTTCCTTGATTCTAAATCGCGTTTGAAGGAAATCTGAAGCCCGGAGGAGTAAAAAAGGTTGYGTATCTGAGTGATAAAGATGTTTATGTCGCAAATACCTCAATTGAGTACAAAAAATAGTGGAAAATTCTAGTAGACATTAATCCTTTATGCTAAAGTGTATAGCCCCAGGTCAACCGCACTCCAGCTTGAATTCACATAGACAGGTATGAAAATGATTCGCATTCTTCGGGGGTTGAAGCGGAATCCGGAGTACGGAATAAAGTATTTTATTTTAGTTAAGTATTTGGAATTCTCGATTTGCTAGAAGGAAGAGTAAAGACTACTTGAAAATCATTAAGTGGAAATAACATTTTAATTAAAATTTCTCGTTGAGAGCAGCGGAATATGGAGTAGAGCTCTAATACTCCTTGTACCGAATGTTCAACCTCTTCTCAGTGATGGGCGACTTTTTGTTTGTCAYYATTTAATGATTCACAATTGATTTATGTTTTGATGATACCACTTGAAAATAAAAATGAAAAGATTGCATGATATTATCAATGATGCACCACCAAAGCTTAAAGAACTAGGAATAAGGGAATAAATAATTATTTGAAAGACGAACCCAAACACTATGCCCGAACTCCTCGCGAGTGCAACAACGAAGGCTTTTTCACATTTAAGCGCCATATTCAGGAATAATTGAGAGAGATATGCAAAGATGCCCACACATAAAGCAAACAAATAATCTGTACTTCGACAAAATGGAAACTGGAATCCTCTGTCAAAGTAGGAGCCAAGAATTGAATAAACAAGTCCAACCAAACCAAAGTACAATAGCACTAAACTAGATGGAATCTTGTACGTTTCTAGAAGTACTCTAGCACCTACAATATCAAGAGCTGTCAACACAGCACACAGTAAAGCAACAAGAGAGGGTATCAACACGTTATCATACTCAGGAGCACTGTCTGGATGTCCAAAGATGAATGTTGGTCGTGCAATCAGAGTTACTCCAGCCAAGCAYAATACAAGAAGAATCGAATAGATCCAATGTAAACGCTCCTTCAAGAATATCCTTCCGAATATGGCTGTAAACACTGGGGACGTGAAGATTAAYACGGTAGCATCCCCCAAAGGCATGTTTTGAACAGCGTATACTCGTGTAAACATTCCGCTTGCTCCCAATAATGGCCTCAAAGCAAGAAGTACAATGTGTTTTGGCGGACAAACAACAAGAGAATG